CTTATATTATACGCACGCTATACAGATAGTCTTCACTCTTCAGTCTTCAGCAATTAATTTTGGAGACTTGAAAAGCTAGAGAATCTAAGGGAAGAAGCAATTTTCGAGTAAGACTACGGAAATGATGAATCAAGCGGCTATGGAATCGTCGGAAACTGAAAGGGAATGTGAATAGTAGACCGTTGCAAATAAAAGAGAACGTCTGAAGTATATACTAAAATGATACGCTAATAAATTAAAAGAACATGAAAATTCCAAGCAACTAGTTGAAGGTCTCCAAAAATACATCAATAGAATTAAAATTAAACATGAGTTCACTATTCTAAAATGAACCTGCAAAAATTACTATAAACTAAACATCATCATTTAAATCGAGCTCCATGATTGCATGTCATCCACCATCTTAGAGAAGTGGATTAAGTACGGTGCCAACAAAGACAACAAGCGTAGACACATCCTCCCGAATGAAGAAGGCAAAGGGATGGTCCGCTATGAAGTCTATCTTTTCCTCAACCTGATGACATTGACGTACAAACGTCATCATACTAGTTGCAACAGGTTTTGTTCCTTTCTCATTAACATCAACAACACACTTGTGGATGATGTTTGAAACTATGGGGCTCCCCTCCGGGATGACCACCATTTCATCAAAACCGCCACTGGAAAACGACACCCCGAGCTTCTCTAAAAAACTTAAAACATCAAAGCTGAAAGTTAATTTGAATTTCGGTATTCGAAACGCGCCCACTGTAACTTGCTTGTCCGGAGCGTGGCGCTCAAGAAAGCCGGATTCTTTAGCGATGGTCTCCATCAAAGCTGGTAGGCCATCATTTGCATTCGGCAGGACGAAGTACATGTAGAATTGTCGCCCTATTTCTGTAGTACCTATCTTGTATGGCATACTCAGGATTTTGAATTTGTTGAACGCTTTTACATACTGCTTCTTATTGCTCGTCATGAAGGGCACTTTGACGGATGTTCCGTTCATGAGATAAAATTCTCTATCTTTTGTATGATTTTCGTCAAACTTCTCAGCCCAAACTCCTTTGAAATAAAGTGTGTTTGCAAGGATGGTGATTGTATCAAGAGTAACCGACCTCTTATCGAGTAAATTTTCTATAAGGCCACCGGTTTTCTTCTTGATCCACAAATTCACAAAGTATCTACAAATTAAGTACAAAGTATTCACCCACAAAGAAGTTATATTTAAAATTCAATTAAGGAAGTTAGACACTATGTACATTTGTTTTTCATTTTCAAACTGAGAACATTCTCTAATTAAGACTGAAACAAGCCAAAAAGGACAAAGATGATAAAGTAGACTACCATTTTTTCTTTCTGAATTAGTACTTATTCAATCCTATTTTGGGATGTTTTAATCTAACTCATTCTTTTAATGTGACCAAGTGAGTTATATTTTGTGAAGGAAACATCTCTAGTCTTATTTTTGAATTTTATATATGTTTTGATCCTATTTTGAAATTCTGTTTTGTGTACCAATTAAATCCTAGTGAGTCAAATTATTCCTATGGAAGTTGGTGAAGTCCTATTTACCCTTCCTAGAGAATCTGCAAAGATTCCAATTGGTTTTGCATCCTTCTAAATGTCTCTTTTGCAATAATCACAGTGTTTCTATTGATCATATTTTCTTTAATTGCTCCTATACAAAGAAAATTTGGATATATTTCATGGGAATTTTTGGCATTGCTATTCCTAGAGCCTCTTCCATTAGACAGATTCTCATTTCATGGTGGATTGAAGCTAGATCAAAGAAATTATCTGATATTTTTAGGCATAATATGCCACGCATTATTTGCTGGCATATAGGATGATTTTCTTAAGCAAGAGAATCTGATCTCAAAGAATTTCAGATTTAATTACTCAGGCTTACAGGTTATCAAATGGAGAAGGCCCAACAAGAACTATAAAATGAATATTGATGCCGCATATCTACCTGGTTGATATGCACTAATTAGTAGTGCATAAGTGTATGTTTTTATGTTTCATTTGTGTGTATTATTTATCGTTTTATTTAGTTTGTAAACATTTGTGTGATTTTAGTTGTAATTGTATTTTAATCTTCATTTATAAGTTGTAAAATAGATTTAGGATTTATGGTGTTGGAAAAGAGGACTTTGAAGAGAATAAAACAAGAAATTTGACTGCCCATGAGCAAAACCCGACCGGGTAGAAATCCCCACCCGGTCGGGTAAGATTTAACAACCGAAGAAGCAAGGAAATTGCCAGACCCGGTCGGGTCCCCTACTTGACCCGGTCGGGTCAGATGTGACCCGGAACACCTGAACATGCCGAAGATCGCCAGAACGTGGGAAATATTTGATTTTGACATTTACCCGGTCGGGTGGGCACTTGACCCGGTCGGGTAAATGCCCCAGGGTGTTGAAAACACCTATAAATAGCCCCATTTTCCTTCACTTTTCATCAACTCCTTCTTCCATACTCTTAAGCTCAGTTTAGAATAGTATTTATTTTATATTTTTATAGCATGTTTAGTCTCCAAATGAAAAGCTTAACTTCCATTTCTTGGTGTTGCTCTTGAAGCTTGTTGATTATTAAAGTTGTGAGTTATTTTCTTAACTTTTTCCCTTGAATATTAATTATTCTCTTAATTTATCTATATATTAATGTTGGGGAGTGTTGCTAAGATGACAATTAGTTAACATCTCGACATTAGTTATAGTAGTATTTATTTTCTTCCTCTATATATTAATGTTGGGGAGTGTTGCTAAGATGACAATTAGATAACATCTTGACATTAGTTATATTAGGATTATTCATATTTAATCTTCTTCCTTGAATATTATTTCTTCCCTTAAGCTATCTCTATATTAATGTTGGGGAGTGTTGCTAAGATGACAATTAGTTAACATCTCGACATTAATTACTACTACAAATGATCAACGAACCAATGGTTAATCGTTGATGGTTTCACAAGTAAGTAACTTCGGTTTATTAATGCACGGTCGTGGTTAATAAACTTAAGAGGGATTAATTTTGTTGGTTAAACCGAAACCGTTGTGTTGAGGTTATCAATCTCAATTGATTTCATCAAGGAGTTAAGAGATTAAATGCTACTATTAAGTCGGTATATGGCGGTGTTCTATACTTGACTAATAGTAAGGGTTATTAATGAACGGTCGTTGTTAATAACTACTCTCGATGAATTGGATATACTCCTCGATTGAGTATTTGAGAGGGGATAAGTTATAGATATAACAATGATCGACTAAAATATATCAACAAGTGGAAAGTAGCAATGCCAAGTCCTTTTTATCTTTGAATTAAATCTCATATAAGTCCTTCATCTTTGTTTTTAATTAAATTAAATCATTCAACCATAACCCCCCCTTATTTACTAGCTTCATAAAAAGAGAATTATTCCTTTCCCTGTGGATACGAACTCTACTTCACTATACTACGTATTAGTGCTAGTATTGAATTTATTTTGACGCATCGTGACAAAGTGCACGTCAAATTTGGCGCCGTTGCCGGGGAAAGACAATTATTTTTCTTTTTATTTTATCTCATAAAAATCAAAAACAAAATATATATATATATATATATATATATATATATATATATAGGGAACGGTTCAGGTGAGAAGGGAGACTTAGGAGAGAAATAAGAATGAAATCCGACCTTCAATAATCTCAATCGGATGGACTAAAATTAATGCACGATTACCTATTAATTTGGGATAGGAAAAGGAAAGTAATCAATTCAATCCATTTGAATTGAAATGAAATGTCACGTAGGGGCATTAGAGTAAAAGCAAAACACCAAAAAAAATTAATTGATTCCGATTATCCATCAAATGCTATATACGGTTGTTTGAAACTTTACACTTTCCATATTAGTCAACTCATTAAATGCAAAAAATCTTAAGCCTGGATAATTAAAATTAGTTTCCATTATAAGCTTATTAGAGAGTATTATCGTTCACATATATGACTTTTTTTGCATGTACAAATATGACTTTAAAATGTACAAGTACAAATTTGTGAGACGGGTGCAATGTAATTACATAAAAAGTGCTATTTGATATTAATAAATCAGCACCATTATTTATTTTTCACGTTTTATAGAGTGAATTTATTTGTTTTTTATAATTTATTAAAAATGTATAAATGTAATCGTACCAAGTTTTCTACGAGAATCTCTCATGCACGTTTTATTAGAATATCTTGCACTTTTTTTTAATTTCACTTCTCATTGAATCTCTTTGCACCTTTCTCGTGCATTTGTGCACTTTTAAACATTATTTATGTAATTTGCTTGTGCAATGTGTATGACAAAAAGTTGCACTATCAAAAATCAATATGTGCACCTTAGCATATAGGAATGGATTTATTTGTTTTTTAATAATTTATTAAAAATGCGTAACCTATAAATGTACCGAATTTTCAACTAGAATCTCGCATGCACTTTTTATTAGAATATCTTGCGCTTTTTTGAACGGGACTTTCATTGAATCGCTTTGCACATTTCTCGTGCATTTGTGCAATTTTGAACATTATTTATGTGATTAATTAGCTTGTGCATCGTGTAAAACATAAAATTGCACTATAAAAAAATAGCTGCACTTTTTATATTTTGGTGCACTACATTTTTTACTCTGCCACTACAACATTTTGGATTTACTACTACACTGAAAAACTGTTGCCTAATAAAAAAAAACTGTTGTCATTGTTTTTGGCAACAATTTTAAAACTGTGGTAATGTAAGGCGTTGCCTATACATTAGACAACAGTTTTGATATTTAAAGGCAACACATTGGAAAAACCGTACTCAAAGAGTATAGCTTAGAGAACAGTTTTGTCAAACATATAGGACAACATTTTTTATTTGTTTCTATCAATAGTAACAAAAAAAACTGTTGCCAAAAAGATTCCAACCATTTTTTGCAAACATTGCTACAAAGCACCTACTACTAATTTGAAATGTCAATCTTTTAAAAAATGTTTATGAAATACTTGAATGGGAAAAGGTAGAATTTCATTTCAACAATAATCAATCACAAATCATAGTTCAACAATACCCTAGTAATCAACATCCATGATCCATTGTCTTTAAAGTGTAAATCATCACAATAGTAGTGTCTTAACTTTGAACATAAAATGAAAACAACAAATGGAAATAAAACTTCATCAAATCACATTAAAACTTCATTGTTTACATCTTCATCTTCACTTTCTTCATCAATGCCATCATCCACCTACATAAAAACATATTGAAGCGTAAACCAAATAAATTATAAAGAATAAAATTATGAAGCACATAATTAAACTCAAATCAAAAGCATAGCATGTTGACATTAACAAGAATTTTATGAGATCAATGGAGTATTGTATAAGGAAAGGTGAACTTATATCTTTATGAGAATAATTTTTTAATATACAACTAAGACTTAAATGGTCTGGGTTAGGTGATCCAACTTGTTCCCTTCTACAAACAGCTTTCCAAAATCGAAATTTTAGCAACAAATCTCTCTGTCTGTAATAAGCCAAAATGTAAATTGAGTGTCTAGAGCAAAAAGACATAGAAGAAACAGTTGATCAGACAGTATCAATGGAATGCATGGGATTAGTAGAAAAATGGTAATAATCTAATTTGGTACTATCTGAGTAGAGAATACTGATCCAACTAAGAATTAGTATTATAATGATACAATCCTTACTAGCTCCTTTACTTTCATATATAGCATGTCTACTAATCATGACCCTTTTTTCTTTTAACCATCTGAACTAAGAGACCTCAAAGCTATCTAACAAGCTTTTTAAGGTTCTTAGAAGAGATAAATTAAACAATGTATACCCAAAGCTCAAAAAGAGAAAAACATTTTGCTTTGATTTGCTTTTTCAATTAAATTTGTTTTTTTTCTTCTGTTTGTATTACGAACCTTTCTGTGAGATTTTAGTATTATCTAAAAAAAGGTAGAAAGTGTGAATTTAAGTCATCACACTTCTTAACAGGTGATAAGTGCATTAAACTGTGCGAGAAAGGGATGGATAAACATAGATATGGATACTATTGTATGTGAAGCATGTGAAGTGCGTCTTTTATTTTCTTGTCCACCATCCTGGAGCCTACAACAAGGCAAGCCCCCTTTCCCACCTAAACTCCTCCCAAAGTTACTGCCCTAGTGGCTGAAATATATTAAATAGCGAATCCAATTCCATGAGTGACAAGAATTAACCAAATGCCCTCTCATATAAAGTAATAATACTATCATGGAAAGTACTTTTCTAGGAATGAACCAAACTCCTCTCAATTTTTGTATTCATTATTGAAAGGAAAAATGCTAACCACAGTCTTAAGGACTAAGTTTCTATGAAGTTTTAAGGAAATATTTACTTTCTAGAATAGAACTAAGATCTTTTTTAATGAAATATTTGTTGCTGGAATGGTAGACGTGAAAGGAAAACATCTATGAAAATCATAAAGGATATTAAACTCTTATTGATTATCAGCCCGTGATTAACAAAACCCTTATTGAAGATTTAGAGCAAAGTAATTGTTATCAATAAAGAACAATTAATTAAATGATACTCTACATTACATCTTATCAGGAAAGCTAAATCAACATCCATACATATTCCATACCATTTCTTGATTCTTATGGAAGACTGTGAATACATATTAACAATTGAGTTGAAGTTTTTTCTTGAAACATATTCACTTATCTCCATATTAATTAGGTTTATCATGTGAAATTATTCACAAGTATACAATTTAACTGAAGTATCAAAAACATCATGTGTTGCTACAAAAACTATGAATCCAAAAACTAACTTAAATTTTAAAAACTGCACCACAATGTTGATTCTATCTTTTTATGTGTTGAATAATAAGAAGATTATTAAAAGTCAAAGGAAATCTTACTTCATTATTACATGGAGCATGAGTTGACGTTGAAGAATGCAAACCATTGTTAATGCCCGTCGTTGTTGATAGAAAAGCTGCAAAGGAGTCTAAATCAATTTCAGACTTGTTAGGATTTAGCATGCTTAGAAGAAACTGAAATTTTTGCTCCATTGATGTCATCTCCTGCCGATTTTTTTCCTCTGTTTCTGCCATTTGTCTTGCACATTTTTCCTCCAACTCTTGAATTTTGTCATTTAATAGTTTGACCTCATTGGCATGCCTTTTTTCTATTTCTGCCAATTCTTCCTTTTTTTTCAAGACAGAACGTGTTGTAGTTCTTCCATGGCATCTCACTCTCCCTGGTTTCTCATTTCCAAACACACTCTGAAATGCTTCTTCCGAAGACTTTTCAGAATTTACAATCAAATCTTGAAGCTTTATCTAGCATATTTGGAAGTGCAACATAATGAGTCATTTCAATCATTATTCGAAAGAGATAAAACAGTTGAGCAAAACTTACAATTGCGCCATCTGTTTCAGGATCCAACTTTTTTCCTTCCTTAGGTTGTCGAGTTTCAATAAACACTTCAGCTCGAGTAGGAGACTCTTTGTTCTGCTTTTTTGCACGCTATAAAGGAAAGTAATAAGATGAATAACATGCTGCAGTTTAACAAACAAATATCTTATTTCAGAATTTATAAATTGGAATACCAATCTTTCCCTTATCCGAGCAAAGCTTATCGGACCAACTCGATGCCTCCATTTTTGTTGAACTGTATTTTTTGCATTTCGATGACTAATTTCCTAATATTGGTCCAAGGAATACATATCACTAACTGATAAATGTGTACCAACTAGTTGAGTGCTAAATTAAAAGCATGTCTTACCTTTACTGTGTCTAGCTTCCAATACTCTATTAATGCTTTGAAATGTTCTTCTGGTATCTCCTTAGGACGGTTTTTCAGACGATCACGCGTGCATTTGTAATTAGTAAAATGATCCCTCTTGATGGAGAATTTATGCCGCCTCCAAGCATCATTAATAACAGCATACACATATTTTTTTCCTTTGTCTTGAATATGGTATTTTTTCTGCAAACAAAATAAATAATTTAAAAGAGATCTAAAAGAATAAGTATGAAGAAATATTAGATGTTTTAATCAGTACATTAACATAAGCCCATATAGGGCCTTTGTCGACAGCCTTCCAATTAGTATAAATAAGAGGGCACAAATCAGAACTTCTTGCTATTGTTCCCAAAAAACTGCTCAGTTCAGAAAGGGTCTGTTCATCTGGACCAATAGGTTGCCCTTCTACATTTAAAATTATATCCTTTCTATCTTCAAGCCCCCGTGCATGAATCTTTAGACACAATGTCTTTCCACGTTTTTTTATTGATTTTGCACCTAATTGATAAGACATAAATAGTTCATTTAATTATATGTGATATAAATTAAAAGATGCTAGTTAACTAAACATTTATAACAAAAAGATGATGTCATGATATTACCTGTAGGAGCATTTTCCTCGATGCCTTCACTGTCATGGTTCATGCCCCCTTCAAATTCCAAGTTCATGTCAATATCCTCCCCATATTCAGACCCTGATTCTTCAAGCTCATGTTGTTTCTTATTCTTATCGATAAACTCATCTAGTGACATTACAGGACATTTTGGATCAGCCTTTTTCTTCTTAGAGCATTGCTCTTCTGGTGCTTCATGGACCTCATATGTCAGAATAGGCCTTTGTTGTCGCTTAGGCTTGCTGGTAGTGTTTTTAGCAATGCTCTTTTTAAAAGAAACTTCAATTGAGTCTGTTTTATCAATTTCAACACTATTGCTCAAGAATTCCTTACTCTGATTTTTCTTTTTATGTTGGATTGAAATAGATCCTGGTTGAGGTCTTTTCATATGGTTCACCTTTTGCATTGACTTTTGAATACCTCCACCATTCAGACTCATACCTTGCTGACTTAGATTTGAAACACCTCCATTGCTGCTAATAATTTTGAAGGGAACACTTCTCTGTGATTTTTTACTTAAAGCACTTCCTTTGTTTTTTCTGAAATCTGAAACATTTCCTTCTTGAGATAAACTTGAGGCAGCTCCTTTAGTATTAATAACCTGTAGGGAGAATGAGAGCAGTGTGGGACAAATAAGTACTCACAAACTAAATTGTATTCTTCTATAAGTAGAGCTTGTTTTCCTGAAAATTTCCTTGCCTTTCCAATGAAATAATATGAATGTATTAATGCATACTACGATAGTATGTGACTTTATATATTTATACATGTTTCACATTTTTGTGACCCATGAAATTTGCACCTCTGTTGTAGTCAAAAGAAAAATGTCAACATACGCAGAACTTTACAGAAAAGGTCCTATGTGGTCTGCACTTGATGAAATCAAGCAACATTCTGTTTTTCCCCCAAGGAACTTATCTAACAAACATCAATACTCCACTACTCACTAGTATAGTATCATTAACTGATTAGGACTTATGATGCCTTATTTTGTAGTCATTAGATACCAATAATATACCAACCAACAACAGTGATGAGGATACACGATAAATAGGAACAAAAAAGTTATTTAAGCACCTCTACCTGAGTTTTTGTTGGATTAACCGTGAAATGTTTCTGTAATTCTTGATGTGAAGCACTTTGCTTATTTTTTCCGAAAGCAGTTACATTTTCTGCTTTAAGCTTATACTTTCGAAGTAGTTCAGCACCAGACTTAGCTGGAAAATCAAGACCAAAACCAGCCACTTGGTTCATTTTCCTGCAACTGTCAATGCTAAAAATTGTTATTTCAAACCATTATCCACAAACAAACTTAGACCATTTACCTAACAAAAAAAACAAATCCACTATATATACATTGAAATTAAAATTTATTTTATTGAATAACAAGAGCATATGTGGTAACAGAAAATGGACATATGAAATGATCCAAATAGAGATAATTAAGATAACTATTTTCATCAGGAGTTAAAAATTGATCTGTCACAGAGTTACAATTTGGTCTCTCATAGAGTGTACAATAACACTTCAACAAGCTAGTCCAAAAGAGATTAGTCAAAATCAGATTCATTTTCAGATTCTGATTCATCCAATAAGTGCACAGAATTTTCAACAACTGTAGGTCTCATGTCTTTTCTAACCAACTCGACTTCAAAGCTATCATCACATGGAGCTAGATGAACCGGATGATCTGCTCGTTCACTTTGATAAAGCTGTTGAAAGTTTGTTTCTGAGGGTTCTTTGGTATTGTGAAAATCCTTCGGGATAGTCTTCATAACATAATTCCTATTGGCATTAAAAGGATCTTGAATATAGAAGCATTGATGCACTTGAGAAGCCAACACAAAAGGATCATCCAGAAAATGCCTCTTGTTGAAGTGAACACAAATCAAACCATACTTATCCTCTTCAACTTCAAACCAATCACATCTAAACAATACAAACTTAAAATTACCATAATAATCCACTTCAATTATTTCAATAATCGATCCAAAATAGGTAAGCGGTTCTGTTATTGGATTTTTATCTTTAGTACTAGCAAAGCTTTCAGTAATCGACACCAACGTCACACCACTATTTTGTGTTTTGCGTCGTGCATCACGTTGTTTTGTATGAAACCTGTAACCATTAATGAGATAGCCAGAAAAACGACGTGCTACTGTACTTGGTCCTCTAGATAGCTCCTTCATTTTCTCCGAAACACCGCTCAATAAAACACGCCTTTTGAACCACTCAACAAAGTCTTTCCCTTGATTCTTTGATTTATTCCATTTCTTTCTTTTCTGATTTGAGTATTCATTTTCATGTTCCCTATAATAAAAGTAAAAAAAGTTAGAATACTCAAAAAAATTAAAAGTTTAAGATGACTCCTGAAACTGAAGAAACAGAATCCAGGTACGAGTCAAGCAAATGGGTAATATATGATTAAAAAGAGGTAGGAATTGACATTTTCTTCCAAGTCCTTTGTGTATCCAGTATACTGGTTGTGGCCTAGTGGATAAATAACTAACCAGAAAGATGGAAGCACTGTGGTTGATCAGTCGCAGAGGTGGATAATGAAATTTGGCACTCTATTTATTAATGATCAAGATAAGAATGAATGAATTAAAAAGTACAAGAAGATTTACCAACCTAATAAATTCTGAAACATCATCGCAATTGAATAAGATGTAGCGGTGGATTTGGCCCCTTGACTTGCTATCCAAAGAAATAGCTTTTCCATTTGTATTTTTTCCAACGGGACGACCAATGCTAGAAAAAAAGTTTGGATGATCTGCCTCACTGGACTCACATCTGTCACGATTCCTTTTCAGTCTATTAAGTCGTGTCTCCACATTACTATGCAAATATTGTGAGCATAATTTCAAGCATTCTTCAACCAAGTATCCCTCAGCAATAGAACCTTCTGGACGACTTTTATTGCGGACATAGCTCTTCAACTTTCCTAGATACCTTTCTGGGAAATACATCCAACGAAATAATACCGGGCCGCCAAATTTTATCTCATTCACTAGATGTATGGGCAAATGAACCATAATATCAAAGAAACTTGGTGGAAAAATCATCTCAAGTTCACAAAGTGTTTCTGTGATCTCTGATTGCAGAATATCCAAGTCTTTCACCTCAATAACCTTCTGACATAAACAACGAAAGAATGAACAAAGACGGATTAAAGGCTTGGCAACCTGATTTGACATGGTACTCCTCACAGCTACTTGAAGTAAGTAATGCATCATAAAATGTGCATCATGAGTCTTGTAGCCAGAAACCTTTGTATCAGCAAGTTGAACACATCTTGAAATGTTAGAAGCACAACCATCTGGTATTTTTGCCTCCTTTAAAACTCTACAAAAGGTAGTCTTCTCATTGGGGGTCATAGAAAAACATGCAGGTGCAAGCTTGAGACTTTTTCCTTCGTCTATCATTTCCGGCTGAAGATTCTTTCTAATTCCCATATGTAGCAAGTCAAAACGAGCCTTTGCATGATCTTTGGTCTTTTTTGGGATATCTAGCAGCGTGCCAATTATATTATCAAATATATTTTTTTCTATATGCATAACATCAAGATTATGACGTAACACATTATTCTTCCAATATGATAACTCAAAAAAAAATAGATCTTTTCTTCCATGGACCAGAATGCTTCTTTGATTTTCGCTTCTTTTGTGTCTTACCAAAGACATTTCTGAAGTTCTTTAATGATTTTAAAATATCTTCTCCTTCCAACAAAGCTGGTGGAGGTCTATATTCTGCCCTCCCATTAAAGTCCCTCACATTCGATCTATATTTATGATCCATGGGAAGAAAAACACGATGATCCATGTAACACATCTTTCTACTATACTTTAGATAAGTAGAATTTGTGTTGTAATTGCAGCAAGGACATGCTAGTTTTCCCTTTGTACTCCATCCACTCAACATAGCATAACCTGGAAAGTCACTGATGGTCCATAAGAGAGCTGCCCTCATGCAAAAATTTTGATGTAGGGAAGCATCATAGGTTTCTACCCCTATATCCCACAAAACTTTCAGTTCTTCGACCAACGGTTGGAGGTACACATCAATATTATTTCCAGGCGATTGTGGTCCAGGAATTAGTAATGAAAGAATGGCATGATCGGCCTGCATACACGACCAAGGAGGAAAGTTATATGGTAGTATTACCACTGGCCAAATACTATGAGATAGACTCATGGTTCGAAATGGATTGAATCCATCACTGGCTAAACCAAGTCTGATGTTACGTGACTCCAATGAAAAATCTGGATGACGTTTATCAAAGTCTCTCCATGCTTCCCCATCGGCAGGATGCCTCAATTTGCCATCTTTAAGACGTTCTTCTTCATGCCACCTTAATGAGCTAGCTGTTTTTGAACACATGAACAACCTTTGCAGTCTAGGAATCAAGGGAAAGTGTCTCAAAATTTTAGCAGGAACTTTGTGAGCTTTAACATTATCCTGAACATTGCCTTCTGCATTTTCAATCCACCGTGGAGCACCACAAACATGGCAGCACGTGTCTTTCTCATGTTCTTTCCAATAGAGCATGCAATCATTAGGACAAGCATCGATCTTTTTATAATCGAACCCTAAGTCCCTTATCATTCCTTTAGTTTTACTTATTGTATCAGGAATGTTCAAGTGTGGCATGGCTTCTTTCAGTAACTCTAAGAGAGCGTTGAATGACACATTGCTCCAACCGTAAAGGCACTTCAACAAATACAATCGGATAGTGAATGATAACTTAGAGAAATTTTTGCATCCCGGAAACAACTCTTGCTTGGAATCTTCTATTAGACTATAGAACTTTTTAGCATCATTATTAAGCCCTCCAGTAGCTTCATATTGTTCTTCTGTCACACCCTTAAATCTATCATTCAACAGCCCATCAATATCATCCATTTCGTGATCTTCACCATCAATATAACTATCAACTTTCTCGGGGTTTATTGGCTCCTCGCCATGGCGAACCCAAACATTATATCCCTTTTCAAATCTGTATGCTACTAAATGATCAAAAACTATTGCTCTTGTCATCCATAAAGCATTATGACATTTATTGCATGGACACAAAATTTCGTTTCCTTGGGGCTTTCCTCTCCTATATGCATAAGTTAGAAAAGACTCCACACCGTTAATGTATTCAGGACTATATCTTGCCAATTTCATCCACTCCTTGTCCATTGAGTGTACTATAAAAGTCAAGAATAGCAAGGGTGAACACTAAAATTCTGGAAAATTTTAAACATTACACCTTAAGTAGTTTTTGGCTTTTTGTTACCAT